CTCTTCTGGTTTTCTCCCGAGGAGAATTCCTGAACAACATAAGTTTTGGTGGTGGTTACTGTTTTTAAGGCAGGTCTGTCCTGAAGTTAATTATTGCCTTTTAAAGACAGTAGAGTTTAAGGAAGGGTTCGGAATACTTTCCCAGATAATACTGAACATGTTGAGGATTAGGTATATTAGTAAATTGTTGTTGGTCTGTAGTCTTAAAAAGAAACCGTCCCAGCAGGTAAGCTGTTTCCTAAAGTTTTGTGTTTGTAAATGCTTTTAGTTTATAGTACTTTACAATTTCCATTAGTTCCATAGCTCAAACAGTATTTCGTTTGTTTGTTCCCTCCCTGTCTGTTAGAGATTAGTTGAGCTCTAGCTTAGCTGGAGGGTGAAGAAGCCTGAATCATCCAATTTTACCTCATGATTTTAAATCCTTTGCTCTTCAGAATCCTTACCAAAATGAGGGTCAAAGCTGCAGCCAGAATACTTATCCAAACTTGTGAAACCATACATCCAAAAAAAAAAAAAAAAAAAAGGAAAGAAAAGAAAAAAGCAAAGAGAAATCTTTCCATGATATAAGCACACATTTAAGATGGTTTACAGAAGTTATTCTAGAACTTTCTTCCCTGAAACTGCAACCTGAGGTTTCCATGTGCATTGACTTAGTATATATAACCTATGGAATTGTTAGGAACATTAAATAGTATATGAAAGTCAGCTGTTAGGTGGTAAAGCCAGGATTTTGAGAAGTTGTCTCCAGGATGACCTCCTTGATGGTGGTAATATTTTGCTCAGATCTAAAGGGCTGTATGAGAGACCCCACTTCCAGGTTAGCTCATTGTCCTAGGCACTAAAGATGTACACAGATAGAAGTAAACAGGCTTCATTTTTCTTTGTGTGTGTTTAAGATTTTGTATCTTGGGACAGGATCCTATGTAGCTCAGGCTAGGTGGGAACTCTCTGTAGCTAATGACAACCTTGACTATCCTGTTCACACTTTCTTTATACTAAGATCACAGTCAGGCCCCACTACACTTCACTTGGTTCAGTGAAATCAAATAGTAATTAGACTGATCGGGTAAATTTATGATCTTTTAATTAACTGGATAAAAAAAAATACTTTTTTCCCCCATGGGTGAAAACCAATATTCCATCACAACCTGACAGAACAGTCTGTGTGTCTTCAGAAGCTTCTCCCCCAACCTGTGTCCTGGGGCTTTCAGAGTTCCAGTTCTTCCAACTCAGAGGCCCACAGCTGCATAGATACATCCTTCCTCGGGAAAGGCAATGGGAGGCAGGTGGAACCCAGGTGTGCCCTGCTCTTGAGGACAAGGTGGCAGGACTCATGTTGCCAGATCCCAGCTGTGGAGCAGGGAGATGTTAAGATGCCAACAGAGACCACGTCTCCATCTGACTTTGAACCACAGCCCCAGGAGTTGGCTCAGATGAAATTTCAGTCAGTGTCTCAGCATCCCCAGCCTGGGAGGCAGAACTGGGTGGAGGAGTGAATGCTTTCTTGCCTTCAGCAAGAGCTTTACAATGCTGGGAGTTCTTGAACTAATAGAGCAGGTGGAGGGATTGAATCAGGCTCTTGTAGAAAGGAATGTCCAGGACAGCACAGATCATGTCAATGTACTACTTTTAATCAGCGTTTGACATCACTTAGTTGTGTAATTTCAGAAATGTGGTAAACTGAAGTACCGGAGTGAACCAGTGGGGGATAAACACCTTATTTTGTTTCAAATGCCAAGGGCCTATAATTTGAATATATAGGAACAAGTTGAGGCATTCTTCTCCCAGTGTCTGAGCCTAAGAGTAATCTAAAGTCATGATGGATCACCAAGTGACGACCTCCAGCAGGCAAGCTGAGGCAAAGTGTCCTCACCTCTGGAATCCAGTAGTTCTTCTCAGACTTATACACAGCCCTAGGGCTGAGTTCTGATTGCCTCAGTCTTCTGAGATTAAAGGCCTGTACTACCTTGCCTGGGCCTAAGCTTTTCATGGCCTCTATGCTTCAAGATCTCCATGATGAGATCCTGGTCAGACACTCGTGTCATCCAGCCTCCAGAGCTGGATCACAGGTGTGGCCTCCATTCCTGGATTGTAGTTCATTCCAGTTGTGGTCAGTTGACAACCAAGAATAGCCGTCACAAGGAGAAATGAAACCAGGGTAATGAATCTAGGTTCAAGCATAAACACATGCTCTTTACTTTTCTCTCTTTACTGTTCATTCAAAACCTCAGATTGCAAAAAAGCAATCCATTCAGACATATTTATTTAATGCCAAGTCAAATGATTCATGACTCTCAAGCAAACAAAAAATGAAGTACTAGAACTCCCTAAACTTGATATATATATATATATATATATATATATCTCACATGACTCCTGATTTATATATTTTAAGGGAACTAAAGGTGGTAGTCACTGTAGGCAAATATTTTCAACCTCTGCTTTCATTAGTATCACTTCTTTCTCTTCCATTTCAAATGAATGAAACTTTAAAAACGTAACCTTTCCAATAATAAAAAAAGAACAAATGTTTCCTGTTGAAAGTGTGTGACATTTGCCTACAGGCTACCCGTCTTGTGGCTCCCTTTGGGCACTGAATGAGTCTACTTTCTGTCTAGGTTGGGAAGGGGAAGATCCCGAGGGAAATATAAGACTCTACAGCTGTAGTTCCCATGGCTCCTTGGTTGAGACTCTGTAAGTTGTTTCACTTAGTGCTTCTTTCATCACGCGTTCAACTGCCCGGCTCCTTGCTACTTCCCAGATATTTCAGAACGGATCGGTGTCGACTGTTTCTTTATAAATGTTTCTTTATCAGGAAGCAGAAGGGGCAGGACTTTGGGAGGAAGGGAAGACTGGGGTACTGATTATAAGGAACTAGAAAAAGGCACGGATACAACATTTTTTCATTTTTGATCGTATCTTTAGTGTTTCCGTTTTAAAACCAGCCTCAGGCTCACGTTTTGACGCCCCTTATCCCCCCAACTAAAAATCACATCAATCACCACTCAAGGGGAACTCTACAGGACCACAGTACCTTCGTCTACAAAAGCGACTCTCCTAAAAGAAGTAGTTGGAAGAGTCGAGGTCAAAAGACCTTGGGAACCCAGACAGCACAAGCGCCCCCCAACCGCAGAGCCCTGAAACCCGTGGCTTCCGCGATCCCGGCTCAGCGGAGGAAGAGCGCGGCCCCTGGGCCTTGTGTTTCTGAGACTTAGCAAGTCTCGGGGAGGGTCGTGGAAACCAGAGCACCGAGTCCGTGAGCCTCCTGGGATGGTGAGAGCAGCTAGCGGTCGGTCCAAAGAACTTTCTGCGAAGGGACCTTCACCTCCGCCTCTCGGTCAACCACCCAGGGACCTCGATCTTGAAACCTCGCGCCCCTCCGCCAGCTTTACGTCACTTCCTGTACCGGCGGACAGCGCTCTCACCACATTTCCATGTACTGGGACCATAGAGAGTATAACAACACCGGGGCCAGAGTTACTTCCGCTCTCATTTAATATCCGATTGGGTAACTAGGCTAAGAACCCGGCCCCTTTCCGAAGCGATTACTCTCGGAATTCTGACGTATTTCCTGTAGCTCCTTCTCTGGAGAAACCCGGTACCGGTATTTGTACAGTTCTGAATCGTCCATTGATTCTGTGTTAGTTGTCGGGCGTAAATGGATCCTGTCCTTCAGGAATACCTCCACTGAAAACAAGTTACCAAATAACACTGGACACCGAGTTAAATTGCTCTGCAAACATCAGCCCTCTAAACACACTGTGTATATTTATCTGAACAAATAGTGCCTGGGCGAGACTCACAAATTGATAATCTACACGAAAATGTATACTTTAAAAGATAAACAGGGTACATGTTGTAGATTTTCCAGAGGATAAGTTGGTATACAACCCTCCGACGGGTCTTTTCATCAGCCCAAACTCCTTTATGATGTCATTTACACACTTGATTTATCTGGAAGTCTTCGTCCTTTCCTTTCCTTTCCTTCTACATCCTCATTCCTTAACACTCCTCTCTACCCTTTCCCCTTAAAGGTAAGCATTTTAAATGAAATCTTTATAAAGCCCACGCTTGGTTATTTTGGAACTTCATCTGAGCATCCTTTACAGAAAATGGTCATAAGGTAAATTTTGACATCAGGTAATGTAAAAGTATTGATGGAGGTGTATATTAATGTTTAGAATGATGTGAATGTGTACCCTAACAATTTAACATTAGACCCATACTTTAGCCAAACTTTTATGTGGTCAGACAAAATAAGAATTCAGTAAATATCCTGGGCTGGCCCCATCTCCCCATCCTGCCTCATCGTTTTGATGGATGGAATAACAGCCATAAGCCATGATGCCTGGGTGTGTCATTGATTCTTGGTTTGATTACTTTTTGAGTGTCAGCAATAGCAAGATCTATTGGTTCATAACATACAAGCCAGATAAATTTTGAAGGTGACTCAAATTGTATTATTTTGAAACTAATTTATAAAAGCAGTGATAACATAGGAATTAATACATTTGAAAAAGTTATATGGCTAGTTACAATTTTTCATCTGTGAGAGGTTTTTAGTTTTGTTTTGTTTTTAGATATACTGAGTATTTTATTCCACTGATTTTTTTGGTGCTTGAAAATCCAAAATGATGATCACTTCAAAATGATGGGTCACACTTCTGATTGTATGGGCATCTTGTTATTGAGCATTACCAATCTTATAAAGCCTTTGATTAACATTAAAAAAAAAAAACCAAAACAGCTATAATAGGGATGTTCTCAGCATCCTTACATATAAGAATGTTTGAAGTGGACCCTAAAAATGGCTCAATGAGAACGGTTAGATGCAGGGTTTAGAAAACAAATGCTGTATCTACAGAAATTAACTTCGATCAATAGGCCTCCATAGCTTCTCCTTTTCTGATTTCAGTGGCAATTAACATAGGTCTGCTAATGCTTCTGGGACAGAGGGAGCTGCCTCTTTCTGGTGGTATTGAAAATAAAATTATCCCCCCCAGAAAATTGAAATTAATTACTTTCCTTTGATCAACAAGTTCTTAATGGAGAGTGAGTCTTTTTCCTCACTCTAATATATTTTATGCAGGGATCACAGCAGTTTATTTCTTGCTTTTTAAAATGTTCCAGAGTGTTTGACTGCTAAAGTGATAGATGACAGTTGGTCCATATTAACTGCATTATAGACAAAACTTTTATTATCTCATTTTTTTCCAAATCCATCCAGACACACTCTGTAATAAGTAGAAGCTCATAGACGCATTGGTCCGTTTCATTCTTGAAGATAATGTTTTTGTTGTTTTGCAGTCTTTTCCAAATTACAGACAATTGTATTTAATCTGGTGGAAGAAAATGTTGATACGGTTTTGCAGTCTTTTCCAGTTTGCAGACAATTGTATTTAATCTGGGAATAAAAATAATAGAAGTATGTCTATTTTATTTGAAGGCCACAGGTGTGTGTGTCTACTCTGATGTTATTAAGTATGACTTATTAGACATAAGTGATGTTTGAACCAGGTAATGGGAATGGTCTCTCCATTTAGTAGAAATGTTTGAAGACATTGCCTGGGAACAAGGAAGCAATGGTCTGTGCCTGCTGGTCTCTGATGCCTTTACACCTCAGTGGTTCTGACAACAGGGTAAGAAAACTGGAGAGAGCTTTATCCCCTGATAGTTGAGTACAGATGGTTTGGGCACTCACTGCTGACCCAAGACCCAAGCATCCCAAATTGTTTATCAGTATCCACATTGTTTTGAGACATGGAAAAGTAACCTGAAGAAATGAGCATGGTGCCAGAGAGGGAAGCACAGACTCTCCCAGTGTAGATACATGACTGTTCATCTGAACTGGCGCTTCACAGCAGTGATGACCTCAGTGATGGCATGGTGGTACTTCTCTGAGGCTTCCTGGAACTCCTCCAGATGTTTCTCATAACTTTTGATGGCTGCCTGAAGCTGTGTCCTCTCCACTGCTCCCAAGATGGCTTGAATGATCATATCTATGCCGAGGCCGAGCACGGCAACACCAATGCTTCCAAGGAGAGAAGTCCCGATGTGAGCTAGCACAGAGACCAGCTTGTTAATGATGCCAGTCGTGACATTGGAGCCCACCAGTTTAACAGCCACTGCACTGGCTGCAGATGTAGCTTCTCCCAGGATGACAGAAATGACCTTTTGCACAATGGCAATCTTCTCTGCCTCCCTTTCCTTAATATCCTGAAGCTTCCTATAAAGGGTTGGCTCTAGTTTGTCTTTCAGTGCCTCGTCAACCTTTTGCAGTTCCTTTTGGATTTTTGTCACAGCTTGGATAATGATGTCACAGTTTTCTTTTATGGTTCCATTGCTTTTCATTTCAATGAAGGCCAGCCTGCAACCTAAGTGGGTATTGAGAACCCCTGTGAGCTTGTTGGTGACCTGGAAGTTGTCAGACAAGCAGTCCAGCAGCTGCTGGTGAAGGTGGTTCACTTCCTGTCGCCTCCTTGGGTTTTGTGGGTAGAGGAAGTCACTCTGAGCCATAGTTCAGTAAGTCTCTGAAAAATCAAACAGGAAGTCAGCTCAGAGTACCTGTATGCCTCTAACCAGGCAGCCATCAAAGTGGCCATAGCTGAAGACTGCCTCAGAGGTCTGAGCAGGTTTGATTTGTTGGCTTGTTTGAGGGAGGATCTCATGTAGCCCAAGGTAGGTGTGAATTTCTGATCCTTCAGCATCTAATTCCCAAGAGCTGTGGTGATCACAGGCCTGCATCCCTCTGCTGGGTTTTCTCATGGGTCAAACCCAGAGCTTCGTGAGTGCCAGAAAAGCATCCACAGGGCCTCAGCCCTCCGGAGGCTAACTCTTGGCCACCATTACTTATTTTCCCAATCTCTAGCCACCACTCTGTGATTACCAGATTATTTCCCAAGAATATTGAGTTAAATCAATAGTCTAAAGATCTCTGGGATTACAGCAACACTGTTATGAATTTAGTGCTTATGTATTTGATAATTTAGTATATTCACACCAGGGCTGGCAGGAGGCCTAGTTGGTAACAGTGCTTGCTTCACAAACCTGAAAATCTGAGTTTGCTCCCTGGGACCCCCATGAGAAAAGGAAAGAAATGAGTATAGCAAGGTGTCCTCTGATGTCTACAGGCATACCACTACATTCAGGAAGCCTTCCACAACCACCTGACCCCTCCCGATAAATAATTTTACAATTAAATACTGAAGGTAAATATTAGTGCTACTATATACCTCTATGGGCAAAATTGTTTTTAAAACTTAAGGACTGTCCAAAAAGGATACCCATGTAATATTAACATCTTTAAAAAAGAATTCCTCATGAGCCAGGCATGGTGGCATATGCTTTAAAGCCTGGCACTCTGGAGGAAGAGTCAAGCATATGTCTATGACTCCAAGGCCAGCCTGCACTGCATAGCAAGTTACAGACTAGCCAAGACAACACAGTGAGATCCTGCTGCATAAAACAAAAAACATCCTCAGAATAAGAGTATAAATTCAAGACTGTAGATGGAAATGTCATTTGAGGAGACAGTGGACACCATACCAGTATAGGGCAGCTCTGATCACATCTGGGACTCATGACATATTAAACCATTTAGTATAGTCTATGTTGCATGTGGACTTTTTTTTTTTGTTTGTATGACAGAGGGTCTAACGGTAGCCCAGCACAGCCTCAAACAGTGATTCTCCTGCCTCAGCTTCCTCATTGCTGGTAGCAGCAACTACACTCTGTCCACAGTCATTATTAAGACAAGCTAGAGTGTGTGTCAGAAAGAAGGTAATGGTGGCCGGGTGGTGGTGGTGCATGCCTTTAATCCCAGCACTGGGGAGGCAGAAACCGGCAGATCTTTATGAGTTTGAGGCCAGCCTGGTCTGCAGAGCTAGTTCCAGGACAGTCAAGGCTACACAGAGACACCCTGTTTTGAAAACAAAATGAAAAAGAGAAGGCAATGTCATCTCAGAGAGGCTCTAGGAGATAGCATACGCATTCTGTGGATGATACAGCTAACTGGGAGGGAGCTTCTTGGGCATGTATTTGTGGCTGATAGTGCCTTCTGTTTAGAGAGGCAACAACCATACTTTTCTATATTTATTTTCCTGAAAAACTGAGCACAGGAAGAACAGCAAGTTACTTAATGTGCATATGGTTCTTTTGTGTTGGACATGTCTGCTGAATCCCACAATGGTTAGTTTTATAATTACTTTATTCTTATGTATATGCGTGCTTTTTCTGCATGTATGTATCACTGTGCATCATGTGTGTGCTTAGTGCTCTCTAAGTCTAGAGAAAGACATTGGATCCCCTGGAACTGGGCTTACAGAGATTGTGAGCCTCCATGTGGGTACTGGGAATGGAACTTAAGTACTCTGAAAAAGTAGAAAAACAGGCAGGGCTCTTAACCTCAGATACACACACACACACACACACACACAGACACACACGAGTCTTAGCACAAATCATTTTTTCTTTTGTGTGGTAAGACTGTCTTTCTGTTGTGTCTTACAAGGCGTATAACTGGCTTGAACAACCTGTATTCTATTCTTGTCTCTTCTTCCATCCTCTCTGTTTAAAGAACCAGTTACCTTGTGCTCAGTGCATCAGAGCAGGTTTATAAGAATGCAATGTTCTCTGCCCTAGCACTGAAGCTATAGCCAGTTAACATCTTGGAACTGATCTTGTTTGTAGTTTGTGTTTGGTACAATTTGCAGGAGTGCCTTGTTTGACTCTGTGATATAAAAAGAAGAAACAGTGACCTGCCCCTTTCTTGGCATTTCTGGTCAGTTAGCAAGTTAACACATTGTTAACAACGATGTCAAACTGGAAAACACTTGGATATAGGAGATTTGACTTGTGCAAATTCAAATTGTAAACAGTGTACATATTTTCTTACTGTATATTTATACTGCCACTAGGTGTAGACACCTGGTCACTCAGGAAGATTCTCGACCTGTGGGCTTTTGAATTGATACCTTTAAATATGTACTTGATGGTTAAGAAGAGGCCCAGGGGTGCCTGGAGAACCGGCAGTTGATAATGTGTGGTGTTGCCATGCTGGCTTTCTACAACTTTCTTCTGAATGAAGTGAAGGCCCTACACTTAGCCATTCCTCCTAAAGCTCAGGGATCCTGCGAGTGACACAGTACTAGCCCGAGAAGCATTCTGGGCCTAGACCTACTCCCACGTCAGTACAGTTTGGCAGTCACCTGCCTGGAGACTGTTGGAGATTATTGCATTACCACATGCTTCAGAGTTGAGCTTAACACACCTCTGATTAAATACTATGGTTGCCTTATTTGGGCTTTCATAGAGTTAGAAGTCACAACCCGTGCTTCCTGTCAGTGAAAGAGTTAGCTTGGGTCATTGCTCTCTAGTTCTGCAGCATCTGTGCAGTTCTGCAGTTGTTCAGGTTTGCAGAGCCTGCAGCAGCTGGCTGGTGGGTTGCTACCCAGCAGGTGGCGCTCATGGCTCCTGGGAGTCCCATCTCACTCCAGCCTTGTTGAAGCCATTGTGCTGTGCTTGCTTGGTCTACATCTGGGCTCTAGTGGGTAACAGTGTGTTTGATGTGAGTGTTTGCTTGTTAAACCCGGATTTTGAGACAAAGAGTAGTCTTGCATGATGAACTGCCATCCTAGAATTTGACATGTGAAGGTGGGGGACCAGAAATGCAAGGTCAGCCTCAACTACACAGTAAGTTCAAGGCCAACCTGGGTTACCTGAGGCTCTGTCTCAAAAGAAAGAAAAAAGAAAGGAGGCGAGAAATATAAAGAAAGGGAAGGAGGCGAGAAATATAAAAGAAAGGGAAGGATGATTACTTCTAAAAGGTGAGGTTAATTTCATGCTACTCTGTAGGTGATTTAGTTTTTCCTGTAAAGACGACATTCTATGATAAAGGATAATGATTGTCAGCAATTATTATTATTATCATTATTATTATCATTATTATTATCATTATTATCAGTAGTAGTAGTAGTAGTTCTCTGGATGGCACAGAACTCTTGTTGTCAGCTAGGCTGGTCTCAAACTCATAGAAATCTTGTCTCTGCATCTCAAGTTCTCTCACACCTGGTCTTGTTTATCCTGTTTTAAATTGTTTATTTACATTAAGTTTAGGATTAGTATTTCAAGTTATGGACTTTCTTTTGGCCTTTTTTACGTATATGCCATTTTGCTTCGTTCTTTCCTGTTTTCTGGCTATCCTACCTCTTCTTGCTGTCACTTTTCAAATACAGCCTCTTAGGGGACTTTAGAGAACACAGTGCATCCTCTGCCCAGAGCTACAGGAACTTCAAAAGGGAAACTAGGATGGAGGGGACTGCATGAAACTTCTCCTAGAAAGTGACATGTGATATATGTGTTAGCAGATGCTCACATTATAAGGCTGAGACATTAAAAACAGCAACTGATAAAGTATCTTACATATACCACCATCTCACTAGTGTGTAAACCTTTAAACAGTGGAAGAACGACATCTGCAATCCTGTTGTCTTGGGTGTTTTTATTTCTAAAATTTATCTATGTGCATGAAAATGTTTACAAAGATATAAAAACAAGAAAAGTGTAGTAATAATGAGATTCTTCTTATTTTAAGTCATTTACTTTCCTGTACTTCTAATTTCATAAGCTGTATATTAGTTACATAAGTATTCTAAATACCATAATTCAATAAACAAAATAAATTGTGTAAAATCTATAATGTTTACATTCATAGCTTATTTTTCCCTACATCATCCACATTCTTTCCTTGGAGTAAATAGATAGAAAGAGAATGGAATAGGAGCTGTTTGACATGGAAGTAAAGCCCAGCTGTGGGGTCAGGTGTCTCTGTCCACAGCCCAGCTGTGGAGTCAGGTGTCTCTGTCCACAGCACAGCTGTGGGGTCAGGTGTCTCTG